CGGCTGGGTCAGGGGCGGGGAGGGCGGTGAGACGGCTGGGTCAGGGGTGGGGAGGGCGGTGAGACGGCTGGGTCAGGGGCGGAGGAGGGCGGTGACACGGCTGGGTCAGGTGCACGGGAGGGCGGTGAGACGTCTGGGTCAGGTGCACAGCTGGCCAAATCCTGCTGCTCTGGGGCTTCTTGCCTGGCAGCACAGACTTTACCTCCTCCAGAGCTGCCTTTTGCTTAGGGCGGTAGTGCGGTGCTGGGGGGCTTCCTCAGTGCCCCCACTTAACCTGGTTATTATTAATCTACTTTGGTGATAGCACTTTTAGTTTGTTGGCTTTTATCATAAATAAGTGTTTAAATTTACTAATTTAAAGTGGTTTATTTATAATTCCACCCCCATGGAATCATGCCTAGATACCTCTTCTCCACCCCAAGAGAATAGAATACTCATATACATATGTGTCTGTATGTATACACACATACATACGTGTGTGTGTATATATACACATATATAATTTTTATGTTTAATCCATGAGGATTTATCTTTATATATGATATGAAGTATCTTCGAAATAAGCTCTTCTTTCTTTATAAAGTGCTACCTTCACTAGAAAATAACTCAGAGATATTTAAAATTATTAGAGCCTTGACTTTTTAATTGAACTAAGCAGAAAAAAAAAGCAAAGGCCCCCAAATGAAATAATTTGGTCTACCTTTAATCACAATCAGAATTGAACTGGTTATTCAAGTATTTCAAATGTTAATATATAAGCAAGTCCAGTATCTCAAAACCGAATACATAAGCTAATTTAGAAATGCAGTGAATTGGATTCAGCAGGACATGGAATTTGCATTTCAATTAGTTGATAATAATTCTAAGTGGTGCTCTGTGCATGGGCAGGGTCTGGCCCACGGACAACGGGGCCATTAGGCCCAGGATATGACCTTTCTGACTGGGGACACAAGGCCGAGAACCCATACACCAGGGCACAAGACAGGTGGGAGGCGATTTCTGCTTGTCTGTGTTTTTGAGAGTGAAAGACTTTGTATTATCATGCACAGTTTTAGAGAACACAGCAGGGTATAAGGGATAGTACTTATATGTATAGTTAGGATGTGCATACTAAGTGATGAATGAGAAAATGGATTTTTTCTCAGTTTTATAGCAGGAAGATAAGGCGGTTTATAACAGAATAATTTGGCATTATTCCAAGAGGGGGAACATTCTGGAGTTACTGCAGTCTTTGCAGAAGGAGGGCTCTGTTCTGTGGTTCAGAAGGAGGGTGGATAACAGCCACTAAAGACCCAAACTTCTTCCAGTCCCACATCAGGCAGAGTCAAAAAAGCACTGTGGACATAGTCCATCTCACAGGACGGCAGAGTGAACGGAGGAACCACTGACCATCTCACAGGAAAACAGAGCGAACGGAGGGACCACTGACCATCTCACAGGACGGCAGAGCAAAGGGAGGGACCACTGACCATCTCACGGGACGGCAGAGCGAACGGAGGGA